GCCTTGCCATGTTTAGTGAGCTCTGGTGCAATGTAGCCCAATGTGCGGCTAAATGAGTTGTATGAGAATCCTTTCCACGGGGGCTACATCTTGCCAACCCAAAATCTCCTAATTTTCCATTCAAGTCGCCATCCAAACAACACATTGTTGGCCTTGATGTCTCTCTGAATAATTACTTCCACCCATTCTTCATGCAAGTAGGAAAGTCCAGAGGCCACATTCTTGATGATTTTGAATCTTTGATTCCAATTAAGAGTTGCCTTTGTCTTGTTGAAAAGAAACTTGTCAAGATGAGACATAAAATCATAAACTAAAAAGAGCTCACCTTTTTGTCGACAATAGCTAAGGAGTCGCACCAAGTGGGGATGTCGCAGCCTCCCAATGGTAGCAATCTCTGCTAGAACTCTTTCATTCCTTGCCTTGAAGCATGTGAGATTCTCTTCACTCCAACTTGCATTTTTGAAATGGGTAGGACTCCTCTATACAATGACCAAATCCTCCTCTTCCTAGAAGCTCATTTTCTCCGAAGCCTTTGGTGGCTACAAAGAGGTCCTTGTACAAAAACCTGTGAGGCCCATATTGAACCTCCCAATTTTTGAGAACTTCTGTTAATTTAGCTTTTCTTCTCATCAAGAGAAAAATGGCAAAGACTGAATGACAACGAGAGTACTCCTACAATGGAAAATCCAAATGTCAAAAGTATTTCTTTTTTATTAGACTTTTTTCTGTGTGGTATGTTGGGAAGTCGAGAAAGATCTAGTTCTGGGACTTTTCCATTCAACTGAAAACTCCAACCTAGAACATACTGAGACTGATTTGCACCAATGATTGCAATAAAGCCCACAAACATTTCATCTAAGAACACTGGCGAAAGATCTCTTTTTATAGTCAAGAGGGAATGATCTGGCTTACGTACGTTCAAAGGTGATATTGTGACATTGAGTTGCTTTACCATGCCATCATAGTCCACCCATGCTTGTATTGGCTCTCCACTTGCAAGTAGGGGTGTTCAAATTTTCAACCGGCCGCAAGTTCCTACGCTACGCAACCCTATCCTACCCTACTGAACGGTTAGCCGCAAAAATTGGGTAGGAATGCGGAAGAGTTTTTGGTCTTCTGACAATATTCGGGTAAGAATGCGGAATAACCATCTATTTTCGCATTCCTACCCTACCCTACCCGCAATAATTTTTTAATATATATATAATATATATATATATATAAAACCCTAAACCCTAGCGGAACAATTATGATTTTAATGTATGTCATATGGTTTAAAGTTTAAATTTAAATTAATTGTTATTGTATTTGTGTAACAATTATGGTAGATTAATGTTCATACTTTCTTGTGTTTTATTATAATTCTTGTTGTAGTTGTTTTAGATTTTAGTGTTAATTGATTTATTGTGTTGTTAAATTGATGCATGTTATTTAATTAAATTGTTAAAATGATTCAAAAATTAATTGTTACAAAAATATTTACCCGATTTCCTACCCGATTAAGCGGGTAGGAATACCACACCTGTCGGGTAGGGTAGGTCAAGAAAAAACTTTTCCGCAAAGTATCAGGTAGGAAAACGAAAGAGCATATTTCCTACATGTAGGGTAGGGTGAACACCCCTAGTTGCCAGGGTGAGGTTTCTGAATGCACCCTTTGTGAAATAAGCTGCAGGAGTGGATTCTGTTGATCTTCTACTGTTAAGATTTAGACCAACATGGTTGTCATTGATATCCCCAACATCTAACTGTTGGGATGTGTCAAACTCGATATTGAAGGTATGTCTTTTTAGATCTCCGTCTCCTGTTTCATTGATCAAGCCATAAAGTTTGGATGATACAACTCCAGGGACCTCTTTTGAGGGCATAATCGAAAATGACAATCCAACTCCTTGATTTGGGTTTGAAATTCAGGGACAATGCTAAAGACGAACATAGTGGAGAAAGAGGAAGCATTGCCTTTCGAGGAATTCTTGAAGCTTAGGGGAACTGAGTAGAGAACAGAGCTCACTCCCCAACTTGTTTGGTTAGCATGCTTTAAGAGACCATCAGGTGCTATCTCTGATATTTCACCTAGTTTCAAGATTTCATAGAAGGTGAAGCCACTATCACAGTTCACCACTTTAATCAGAATACATACCAACAAATAAACGTGGGCAGACATGGATGACAAATTGGATTCTCTCTGCAACTATACTTGCTCTATTTCTCTCTCTCTAAAACACAAGTTATAACTATTTAGGGTTAAGTTATAACTCAAAAAAAAAAGAAAAAGAAAAGAGAGATTAATTCTAAAATGTCATTATTGGTCCATAATATCCTTGTCAGATTGAATCATATTCTCTTCAGCATCGTAGTCTTACCCTAAAACAAAATGAAAGTGGTAAAATAGCACAAAAATAATTCTTGGAAAGCAAGAACTGGACCAAGGTTGGATGAAACCTCGGATGAAGTATCGGACGAAGATCCGATTGGTTGAAACATTTCTTGGAGGTTGTTTGGATTGTTAGAGAAAACAAAGAATTGAATTGGAAGTTGTTCACAGTACACATATGGAAACACTTTCCTATCTTGAATTGGATTGGGTTAGAAAAACCAATTCAAACGCATCCAATTGACTTATTTGGGATAGGTTTACTTAGTAATATTATTCGAGTAATGATATGTATCCCAAATTTACATCTCAAATCAAGGAAGACCATTAGATTAATGGGTCTCATTTAAAAAAGTTGATGGGACCCATTGATCCAATGGTTCTCCTTGATTTGGGATACAAATTTGGAATACAAATTTAGGATACATAGCACATCTCATATTATTCCAAGCATAGTAGTTATTGAAACATTAAAAGCCATAAAGACTGTGAGGCATCCCTTGACTGTATCATAATTTTCACACCCAAAAAGTCGGTCTGGAAAACTATAGCTGCGAATGAGTCGCCACAAGAAATTGACTAACGCTTTAAACATTTAAGGCCGGCCAGGGCACAACTTAAGGCTATTTTACAAGAAATTGAAGGTAATTACAAGGCAAGCTATAATTAATATGTATTCCTCATCCTGCAAAGCACATAAAACCTACAAAATACAGCTACTTAACGCCCTGTTAACTCTTCAGTGACTGTTACCAATGGCGTAGAATGTTTTGTTTCGTAAACAGAATGGTTCAGCATAATAGCATCGAGCTCATGCGTCGAAAGAAGGGCATCCAAATTTTCAGGCACTGGAGCATAGCCCTTTAAGTACAACAAAACTTGAGATATGCTTGGCCTGACTGCCGCAACAGGATGTGAACAAAGTAATCCAACCTTCAATACTAATAGCATCTCCTCCACCTCAAACTCATTCTTTAGTTTGGGATCTGCCATCTTCAAGAGTTTCCCTCCTATCAAACAGTCCAGTACCCAGTCCACAAGAATCACCTCTTTAGATGGTGCCTTCGAGTCGACTGGTCTCCTTCCACAAGCAACCTCTAAGCAAAATGTACCAAATGCAAACATATCAGTGCTTGTAGTTGCCTTGCCATGTTTAGTAAGCTCAGGTGCAATGTAGCCCAATGTGCCGGCTAAATCAGTTGTATGAGAATCCTTATCCCGGTGGCTACATCTTGCCAATCCAAAATCTCCTAATTTTCCATTGAAGTCTCCATCTAACAACACATTGCTGGCCTTGATGTCTCTGTGAATAATTACTTCCACCCATTCTTCATGCAAGTAGGAAAGTCCAGATGCCACATCCTTGATGATTTTGAATCTTTTATTCCAATTAAGAGTTGCCTCTGTCTTGTTGAAGAGAAACTTATCAAGACTTCCATTAGGCATGAAATCATAGACTAAAAAGAGCTCACCTTTTTGTCGACAATAGCCAAGGAGTCGCACCAAGTTGGGGTGTCGCAGCCTCCCAATCGTAGCAATCTCTGCTACAAACTCTCTCATTCCTTGTCTTGAATCATGTGAGATTCTCTTCACCCCAACTTGCATATTTGAAACGGGTAGGACGCCTCTATACACCCGACCAAATCCCCCTCTTCCCAGAAGCTCATTTTCTCTGAAGCCTTTGGTGGCTACAAAAAGGTCCTTGTACAGAAACCTGTGAGGCCCATATTGAACCTCCCAATCTTCGAGTATTTCAGTCAATTTAGCTTTTCTTCTAATGATCAAGAAAAAAATGGCAAAGATTGTGAGTGACAACAAGAATACTCCTAAAAAGGAATATCCAAATGCCAAAATCATCTCTCTCTTTCTCGACTTCTTTCCGAGTGGAATAGTGGGAAGTCTAGAAAGATCAAGTTTCTTGGCTTTTCCATTTAATTGAAAACTCCAACCTAGAACATACTGAGACTGATTTGCACCAACGACTGCAATAAAACCCACAAACATTTCGTCTAAGAACACTGGCGAAAGATCAATTCTCGTACTTACGAGTGGATGATCTGGCTTATTTATGTTCAGAGGCGATATTGTGACATTGAGTTGCTTTACAGTGCCGTCATAGTCCACCCATGCCTGTATTGGTTCTCCACTTGCAAGGTTCAGGTTCCTGAATTCACCATTAGTGAAGTAACCCGCAGGAGTGGATTCAGTTGATTTGATGCTATTGACCCGAAGAGCGACATGGTTGTCATTGGTATCCCCAAAATCCGCCAATTGAGATGTGCCAAACTCGACGGCGATGGCATGATTTTTCGGGTCTCCATCTACTGTTTTATTGAGCAAGCCGTAGAGTTTGGAGGGTGATTCAGCTCCAGGGACACCTTTTGTGGGTATAATCGAAAACGACATTCCAAATCCGCGATTCGGGGATTGAAATTCAGGGACAATGCTAAATACAAACATAGTAGAGAAAGAGGAAGCATTACCTTTGGAGGAATTCTTGAAGCTTAGGGGAACTGAGTAGAGAACAGAGACCACACCCCAACTTGTTTGGTTAGCTTTCTTTAAAACCCCAAGAGGTGATATCTCTGATACTTCACCTAGTTTCAGGATTTCATAGAAGGTAAAGCCTCTATCACAGTTCACCACTGTCATCAGAATACATAGCAACAAATAGACTTGGTGGGCAAACATGGATGACAAATTGGATTCTCTCTCTCTCTCTCTCTCGCTTGTAGAGAAGTATGATATATCTGTGAAGTCCTGTATAGTCAATGGGGTTCATTGATATCCTGCTTGCAAGTTGCAAATCAATTCATATAGCAATAATGTTGGGGAGCCAACGACAGTCAAACCCACTATGTCATAGATGGACTGCTTGTGCTAGACTTCAAGTAGAATGAGATATGAATTGGTATAAATTCAGCGCCATATCAAAATTTACATATCAATAGCGATTACTTACAAAGACTTTAACACGCAACGTTGAAAACTCTTTTTCTGTCTCTCTCAAAGACAAGTGGTCGGTTGGGTAGTTGGTCAGTAGATATCAATCATTGCTAGATGCTCTGTTTGCGGTTATCTACATTATCAACTTACCTAACATCTCATTGGCAGAGTGAATTCACAAATAAGTAGCGAAATAAATTTGGGTTAATTGTACTAGAAGTCCCCAAAATATAGGATTTGCTTAATTTTGGTCTTTAATGTTTTAATTGCATCATTTTAGTCCCTGAAGTATTGAATATGTTTCTAAATGGTCCCTTAAGCAGACAGTGTCTAGATTACTAACAATTTTTTATCATAAACTTGTTACATAATATCTAAATATAGACAAAAAAATAATTTTAAGAGTTCTTAAATAAAATTTAGGTAGCTCTTGACAAAACAAATATGTAATATGAGTAGTTTTTGACCAAAATTTGGATAGCTCATGATCAAAATTGTATAATTTAGATAGTTATTTAACAAAATTTGAGTAAAAATTTGATTAAGAGTTATCTAAATTATTTTTTTGTCCATATTTGAGTATTACATAACAAGTTTATGATAAAAAAATTGTTAATAATCTGGACGCTGTCTGCTTAAGGGACCATATAGAAACATATTTAATACTTCAGGGACCAAAATGATGTAATTGAAACATTGGGGACTAAAATAAGATAAACTCTATACTTTGGGGACCTTCACTATAATTAACCCAATAAATTTTCAAGCAATGCTATGTATTCCAATTTTTTATTCCAAATTTTTATCATAAATCAAGGAAGATCATTGGATCAGTGAGTTTCATTTTTAAAAAGTTGATGGAACTCACTCATCCAACGATCTCCTTTCATTTGGAATAGAGATTTGAGATAAAAATTTAAGATGCATAGTGCTTTCCTAAATTCTGTACCTCTCTTTATGTAGAATTAAATAGGGGATTGACCAAATTCAATCAATGATAATAATATCAAGGGACATACTTACTGAAATTTGTCGTTTAATCACTCTTTGATATTTAAAATATTATACGTAGACACTTTGAAATTTATACGCGCATAACATTTAGACTCCTGTCATTAATGTCTATTAGTATATCCGTTAATAAATTATACCTAGACCCCCTGAAATTTATAGACTTATAATACTTAAATTTCACAACCAAAATTTATGTTCTATTATATCATTTATTGAAATAAAATCTAAAATAAAAATCTAAATTTTTCTTAAAAAAAAATAATTAGTATATAATTACACTATTTATTGAAATAAACAAAAAATCAAACAAAGGTTCTAAGTCATTGATAGTAGAAAATGAATTTTACAATTAAAATTCATAATCTATTATGTCATTTAATGAAATAAAATCAAACATAAAAATCTATTTTTTTTTTAAAAAAAAAGTATAATTAATATACAATTATAATATCTGTTACAATAAAACTAAAAAATCAAATAAGGGGTCAAAATATAATATATATTATATCTTCTAACTTTTAATTAGGGTAATATGGTAGTTTAATTTGGTCATTTAAATGAGCAAATTAAATTTCAAAAAATAATATAATTTTATACTAATTATAATTTTTTAAGAAAAAAAATAAAATTTTAGTTTTGATTTTATATCAATAAATGTTATAATATAATATAAATTTTGGTTGTAAAATTTAAAATATTTGATATTTTATTTTTAATTAGAATATTTTTGTTATAAGTATAACATTTTAAACTTGAAATATCTAAGTATTTTATATCTACAAACTTTAAGGGATCTGAGAATAATTTATTAACTTGGATATTGAGGGTGGGGATCTAAGGGTTTCACATGTACAAACATCAGAGAGTCTGTGCATAATTTTTTAAATATTAAAAATTTGAGTGATTAAGTGATAAACTTCAATGTAATCTGTGTGTAATTCTCACTGAAATCAATTTACAAAGAAGACACAAAAATTTACTTGATTTCTTTAAACCTATATCTCAATAACGGGTTTACAACAATCTTGTCTAAAATAATTTTTAAAATTCATTAAAGTATCAATAATTCATCACCTCAATATGAATATTAAAAAAAAAAAAAGAATAAATCTCACCTAATAGCAAAATATCACTGCATAATCTCTGCAAAATATCAATCTGAATTTTTTTATAATAAAAATAAATTAATCACTGCATAATCTCTGTCATTGTGAATAGCATATTAAAATTTTATTAAAACCAGACGTTAGATTTTGGCCCGAAAATCCGAATTTGTGAATAATTGTTTAAGTAATGATATGTAACCCAAATTTATATCCTATATTAAGAAGGATCATTAGATTAATGATCCTATCAATTTTTTTAAATAGAACCCACCGATTTTCTTAAATTTAAATACAAATTTAGAATGTATATCATTACTCTAATTGTTTTTCTTCTCCTCCGTTTCGTCGCCAAGTCGCTGTTCCCGCCGCCTCTTTTATTGCTAGCAAAACCCTTTTCTAAATAAACATGCTGCCAAAGTAGGTTGTTCACGCCTATTTAAGACCATAAAAAAAAACAAAAAAAACAAAATCCTCCTATTTCATGTGGTCCTTAATGGCCCACGTGGCACCACATGCCGTCCGTACAATTATTGATCAGGACCATGATTTATGGATTGAGCTACCACATAGGTTGAACTTAATCCAACATTTTAGTCTGAGTTACGAGTTACAACTCTATAATATCAGTTATAACTATTTAGGATTAATGTATAATTTTAAAAAAAAAAGAAAAAAGAACAAGATCGATTTTAAAATATTATGATCAATACTGAAAACCTGCAATATATAATAATTTTGTTAGATTGAATAGTAATCTTATCTTTTTTTTTTTGTATACGTGACAACTGACACTATGGTCTTCCCCAAAATAAAAGAAAAAGTGATAAAAAAAAATACAAAAATAATTCTTGGTTAATTTTTATAATTAAAAGAGTGAAAGATTTGGCTTATTCATGTCCAAAAGTGATGTTTGTGACAATGAATTGGTTTACCTTGCCATCATAGTCTACCAATCCTTGTATTGACTCTCTATATTTGTAAGGGTGAGGTTCCAAAATTCACCTTTTTCACAATAAAAACACTTGTAGGAATGTCTTTAGTCTATATCTAACATTATTGTCATTGTACCCAACTTCAAGCTCTTGGGATGTGTCAAACTCAATGGAAAAGAAGATGATACAACTCTAGGGACCTCTTTTAAGGGTATAATAGAAAACTCCACTCCCAATCCCTGATTTGGGTTTGGAAATTCAGGGATTATGCAAAATAAAAACACCGTAGAGAAAGAGGTAGTATTACTGTTCGGTGAAGGGCCAGATTTTGATTAGTTCCTAAGACTATGGAAATATAATTTTTCGATGTTGTTTTGACAAGGGTACCATTTGCAACCAACAGCCATATTCGTTCAAGAAAATGTGTCTTTTAATTAAGAAACAGGAACTTTCATAAAAATAATGGGTCGAATTAGGTTCGTTCTCAAGTAAAGTAATAGATGCGATCAGAGGTCTGATGATTCTACCAGTAAAAACTCATTAGGATAGTCTCTGAGCGCTTTTCTTTATCTCCACCTTTTTTTTTTCAAAAAAAAAAAAAAAAAAGAACTTCCATGAAAGGGTATGTTGGTGACTCTTGGTTGTATTTATATAATGTCTCCAAAAAAAAATACAATATCTTCTCTCTCTTCTGTGCTATAAATAGGTGAAATAAACGATTTGTTTTAGTCCACAGTTCTTAGTTTGACTTTGTCCTATAAAAAATTGATAGTCTCACATCACGTGCGTTGCAAGTGTGATATCAACTTTCAACGGCAGCATGAGATTTTAATCTTCGAAGGGAGAATTTGAAAAATTCATAATTTTTTAGGAACAAAGTGTCATTCACCCATTATTCATAGTGCTTAAATTGAGTCTTGCCGTCGCACTTTACACTTTGGAGTCAGCACTTTAGAAATGCTAGAATCTTTAGGACCGAATTCAAGAATGTAAAAACCATCTTTAAATTCATTATTCTTATCAAGTGCAAATTTATCACTCTTAACTACCGGCATACTATAATGAACTTGGTCTTCATTAAGATGTAGAGTTACTCGGTCTCTAATGCTCTTGTTGGATTAGAGCTTTTTTTGCTTCTTTTATTTTAATAAACAGGTACAAGTTCTACAATTCTGAAATATTTTTATCCGTTTGAATTTTTTTTGAATCAGTTGTCATATGATAACTAAAAAACAACAATTTACTTGTACATTTTTCAAAAATTAATGAACAAATTTACTTACCCAAAATAAGAAACACTTCACATGGCGAAAACCAAATGCCTTCAAGTTGTGGTGTACATTTTTATCATATGCATCATATTTTTCACACCCAATAAGTCTAAATCTAAAAAACAACAGCTGCAAAGGTATAACTTAAAGCTACTTACAAGAAATTGAAAGGATAACTTTTTTTATTATTTTTTTTTGAGGGGAGGGAGAAGGAGAAAAGGGAGGAAACTTAAACCCTTGATCTCAAGAAAATAAAGCCTTTACAAGATAAGATATACCATTAAACCAAATGTTCATTGGTAATTAAAAGGATAACTAAGCATGCCGTAATTAACCTATAACAACATTGCTTCAACATAGTTACCGACCTGTTAGCACTTCAGTGACTGTTACCAATGGTGTAGAATTTTTTGTTTCAGAAACAGAATGTTTCAACCTGGCAACATCAAGCTCCTGCGATGATAGAAGAACATCCATATTTTCAGGCATGGTAGCATGGCCCTTTAAGTATTGCAAAATTTGAGAAATGCTTGGCCTAACTTCTGCCACAGAATGTGAACAAAGTAATCCAACCTTTAACACCAATTGCATCTCTTCCACATCAAACTCATTCTTCAGTTTGGGATCTGCTGTCTTCAAAAGTTTCCCTCTTCTCCAACAGTCCAGTACCCAATCCACAAGAATCACCACTTCAGATGGTGCCTTTGATTCGACTGGCCTCCTTCCACAAGCAACTTCTAAGCAAAACGTACCAAATGCAAACATATCAGTGCTTGTAGTTGCCTTGCCATGTTTAGTAAGCTCCGGTGCAATGTAGCCCAATGTGCCAGCTATATGAGTTGTATGAGAGTCCTTTCCGCGGTGGCTACATCTCGCCAGCCCAAAATCTCCCAATCTTCCATTGAAGTCTCCATCCAACAACACATTGCTGGCCTTGATGTCTCTGTGAATAATTACTTCCACCCATTCTTCATGCAAGTAGGAAAGTCCAGATGCAACATCCTTGATGATTTTGAATCTTTGGTTCCAATTAAGAGTTGCCTCTGTTTTGTTGAAGAGAAACTTGTCAAGACTACCATTAGGCATGTAATCATAGACTAAACAGAGCTCACCTTTTCGTCGGGAATAGCCAAGTAGTCGCACCAAGTTGGGGTGTCGCAGCCTCCCAATTGTAGCAATCTCTGCTACAAACTCTCTCATTCCTTGCCTTGAATCATGTGAGATTCTCTTCACCCCAACTTCCATATTTGAAACGGGTAGGACGCCTCTATACACCTGACCAAATCCTCCTCTTCCCAGAAGCTCATTTTCTCTAAAGCCTTTGGTGGCTACAAAAAGGTCCTTGTACAAAAACCTGTGAGGCCCATATTGAACCTCCCAATCTTCAAGTATTTCAGTCAATTTAACTTTTCTTCTGATCTTCAAGTAAAAAATGGCACAGATTGTGAGTGACAACAAGAATACTCCTAAAAAGGAATATCCAAATGCCAAAATCACCTTCCTCTTTTTGGACTTTTTTCCAAGTGGTATAGCCGGAAGTCGGGAAAGATCAAGTTCCGAGGCTTTTCCATTCAACTGAAAACTCCAACCACGAACATACTGCGACTGATTTGCACCAACGACTGCAATAAATCCCACAAACATTTTGTCTAAAAACACTGGCGAAAGATCAATGGTTACAGTCAAGAGTGGAAGATCAGGCTTATTTAGGTTCAAAGGAGATATAGTGACATTGAGTTGATTTACCATGCCATCATAGTCCACCCATGCCTGTATTGGCTCTCCACTTGCAAGGGTGAGGGTCTTGAATTCACCATTTTTAGCAAAATAACCTGCAGGAGTGGAATTAGTTGATCTGATGCTGTTGAGATTAAGTCCAACATGATTGTCATTGATATCTCCAACATCTAACTCTTGGGATGTGTCAAATTCGATGGCGAAGCCATGATTTTTTGGGTCTCCGTCCTGAGTTTCATTGATCAAGCCATAAAGTTTGGATGTTACAATTCCAGGAACCACTTTTGAGGGTATAATCGAAAACGATAGTCCAAATCCGCGATTTGGGGTTCGAAATTCAGGGACAATGCTGAATACAAACACAGTGGAGAAAGATGAGGCATTACCTTTGGAGGAATTCTTGAAGCTCAGGGGAACTGAGTAGAGAACAGGAACCACACCCCAAGTTGTTTGGTTAGCATGCTTTAAAAGACCATCAGGTGATATCTCTGATACTTCACCTAGTTTCAGGATTTCATAGAAGGTGAAGCCATCATCACAGTTCACCACTTTGATCAGAAGACAAAGCAACAAGTAACCCAGAGTAAACATGAATGAAAATTTTGATTCTTTCTATGCTTGTTGACAAGTATTATAGGTCTTTTGCGGGGCCAGTCCGACGGTATGGAAAAAAAAAAATTGGTTTTAGGTACCAATTTTTTTGAAAATTTTATAATTTTAGGTAAATCATCGGTCTATAAAAAATATTAAATTTATTAAAAAATAAAAAAATATTTAAAAATTAACTCATATTTACTCCTACCTACTCACTCTTTATCTCTCTCTGATAAAAAAAATAAAGAACAAAAATAAAAGTTGAAATTAAACCCCCTCTCCAACTCTATTATAAAAAACAAAACAAAAATTAAAATTTTTTTCTCGACAATATTAACATTTTTTTTGTCGCCCTTTCACATGAAAAATTAAAAATAAATTAATTTCTTTTTAAAAATAATACTAAAAATAAAAAAAAAATTCATTTAATGTTTTCGCTTTAAATTTTAAATTTGCTTGAGCCGCCGCTGATCTTTTGTGACCTCTTAGTCAATGGATCCACTAATTAGGTGCAGGAAAAAGTCCCTTAGAGACGAGAGCATTAAAGGGGTTGAAAATGTCTTCAACAATAAAAGTTGAACCCTTGACCATTCTCAAAGGTGGGCAAACTGGAATGAATGATAGTTCTCATTCAGTAACTCTACCATATTGAAAAGTTGTTTTTTATTTATTTATTTATTTATTCTTATATTGAAATTACTGCAAAATAAGGATTAGGTTAAGACTTAAATCGGTTACTATAAAATGAGATTGCTTGAGAATGATTCCGAACATCTTAAGATTGATACCAATGTTTTTCGAGTCATGAACTTGATGCCATGAACTTGTAACATTTTTTATTCATAACACGATCTCATTTATTTGTGAATTTTGACATGTTATTGAACTTGGTACCATAGCCATGGCTGTCTATATCCTGCCTACCAGTCAATACAAATGGTTGACAATGTCTTTGGGGACACCTCTATCTTTCTATGACATGCTTGACAAGGAGTTGGGTGGACTGTAATTACCCAATTTGCCTACCTTAGGGAAGAGGCACCATTAAAGCACCCCAACTTCTTTAGTCAACCCAACTTACAGTAAAGATTTGTTATAGTCCACACTTAATAAAATAACCACGTTTGGCAATCAGGATCAAAAGCAAACAATGGGTGAATGACACTTTGTTCCTAAAAAATTATGAATTTTTCAAATTGTCCCTTCAAAGATTAAAATCGCACGTTGTCGCTAATTTTGTAATTTGATATCACACTCGCAATGCACGTGATATGCTGTCATCAATACTCAAATTTAAATCATTCATGTTCCAAAAACAAATTTAAAATCTTTTAGAAGACAAAGTGCCATTGACCCTAAAATAATCTCTGCTCTGTGGCTGTAAAGTCCATATTGAATAGGGACCAAAATCTTATTCATTTGATAGGCTTGAATTATGTGATACCTCAATATAATAGAATGACAGTAATGTAAATATGTAAATACCTCAATATAGCAAAACTTGAGAAATGTTTGGCCTAACTGCTGCCACAGAATGTGAACAAAGTAATCCAACCTTTAATACCAATAGCATCTCCTCCACCTCAAACTCATTCTTTAGTTTGGGATCTACTGTCTTCAAAATTTTTCCTCTTCTCAAACGATCCAGTACCCAGTCTACTAGAACAACCTCTTCAGATGGTGCCTTTGACTCGACTGGCCTCCTTCTGCAAGCAACCTCTAAGCAAAATGATCCAAATGCAAACATATCAGTGCTAGTAGTTGCCTTGCCATTTCTAGTAAGCTCAGGTGCAATGTGGTCCAATGTGCCAGCTAAATGAGTTGTATGAGAGTCCTTTCCGCAGTGGCTGCATCTTGCCAGCCCAAAATCTCCCAATCTTCCATTAAAGTCTCCATCCAACAACACATTGCTGGCCTTGATGTCTCTGTGAATAATTACTTCCACCCAGTCTTCATGCAAGTAGGAAAGTCCAGAGGCCACATCCTTGATGATTTTGAATCTTTGGTTCCAATTAAGAGTTGCATGTGTCTGGTTTAAGAAAACCTTATCAAGACTGCCATTGGGCATGAAATCATAGACTAAAAAGAGCTCAACTTTTTGTCAACAATAGCCAAGGAGTCGCACCAAGTTGGGGTGTCGCAGCCTCCCAATCGTAGCAATCTCTGCGACAAACTCTCTCATGCCTTACCTTGAATCATGTGAGATTCTCTTTACTCCAACTTGCATATTGGAAATGGGTTGGACGCCTCTATGCACCTGACCAAATCCTCCTCTTTCCAGAAGCTCATTTTCTCTGAAGCCTTTGGTGGCTACAAAAAGGTCCATATACAAAAACCTGTGAGGCCCACATTGAACCTCCCAATCTTCGAGTATTTCAGTCGATTTAACTTTTCTTCTAATGATCAAGAAAGAAATGGCAAATATTGTGAGTGACAACAAGAATACTCCTAAAAAGGAATATCCAAATGCCAAAATGATCTCTCTTTTTGGACTTTTTTCCTAGTGGTATAGTTGGAAGTCGGGAAAGATCAAGTTCCGAGGCTTTTCCATTCAACTTAAAACTCAATGTTCCGAGGATTTTCCATTCAACTTAAAACTCAATGCGATATAAAATGGTATAAATTTAGCGTCATACCAAAATTTACGTATAAATAGCGGTTACTTATAAAGACTTTTAACACTAAATGTTCAAAACTCTGAGTACAAAAGTTCAAAACACAAAGATAAGATTATTGATTCATGGGATAATGACAATCAGTAGATAACACTGTACAAGAGCTGTACCAAAGTGGTTAGTAGATATCAATCTTTGCTAGATGATCTGTTTGCTCTGTTTGGGGTTATCTACATTAGCAACTTCCACCTCATTTGGGTCAAGTTACAGCTCTTGAAAAAAAAAAATCAATCCTAAGTATTTTGATCGATCCGGAAAATCCCATTCTGCAAATAACCTTGTCAGATTGTAACCATCTTTTATTTTGTATACCTGTTTGACACTGTAGTCTTACACCAAAATGGAAGGAAAGTGTTAAAAATGCACAAAAGTAATCCTTGATCAGTTTAGTCATCCCAGTCCTGCCCTTTATTTTACAACTTATTTAATCATCCCAACTCTCTGTCAAAGTTTTACTTAGATACATCACAGATGGTCTTCTTGTGCTAGATTTTAAATAGATTGTGACATAAACTGGAGGATAAGACAATGGTACCAAGTTCAGTAACATACCAATATTTACATATAAATAGTGGTCACTTATACACCTCATTTTAGTCAAGTTACAACTTCAAAATACCATTTATGACTATTTGGGGTCAAGTTACAACTCAAGGAAAAAAAAAAGGATTGATCCTAACAATGTTACGATCGATCCCGAAAATCCCATTCTGCTATAACCTCGCCAGATTGCATCATTACCTTTTATTTGTATAATTGTTCGGCACCGTAGTCTTACCCCAATAGCACAAAAATAATCCTTGAAAAGAATAAGACAAGTTTATATATTTAAAATTCGTGAACAGCAGGAACTGGACCAAGGTTGGCTGGAACCTTGGATGAAGCATGGGACGAACCTACGATGGACTGAAACATATTCCTTGGAAGCAGTTTTGATAGTTAGAGAAAGCAAAGATTCACTGGTTTTGTGTTTTAAAGGGTACAATTTGAAATCAACAAGTCAATATTCCTTAAAAGACAATATACCTTTTGATTAACAGGACAGCACAATGCTTGGCCTATCGTAAATAATAAGTATTCATCTGTGAAGTAAATGCCTCAACTCAATATGCTGTGAGGAGATCTTCATTTATAGACAGAAGATACATGGTAGCTATACAATTACAAATATGGAAACAAATATACAAAGAAAACAAAACTGCTACAATTGTGGAGAATCACTGATATCTTGGTCTTAATCATTGGAATCAGGCTGTCCTCTAATATCCCCCCTCAAAGTTGGCGTGTTAGAAAGAGGAAAAACGCACAACTTGCCACGATCCAATAAAAACTGTAATTTGGCCACCGCTTTTGTGAAAACATCAGCCAGCTGTAGGTGTGAGGGGACAAAGCTGAGACTAATAACCCTTCGAGCAACAAGTTCCCGGACAAAATGATAGTCAATATCAATATGTTTGGAACGGGATTTGGTGACCGGGTTGGAAGCAATGAATATGGCACTATTGTTGTCGCATAAAAGTCTCGGAGGAGAAGGGAGGGTGATCTGGAGTTCTCGAAGAAGTTGAAGTGTCCATGAAAGTTCTGCAGCAACAGAGGCAAGAGCGCGGTACTCGGCCTCAGCACTAGAACGTGCAACGGTAGTTTGCTTTTTAGAGCACCATGAGATTAGGTTGCAGCCAAGATAAACAGCAAATCCGGTTGTTGAACGCCGAGTGACGGGACAGCCGACCCAATCGGCATCAGAATAGCCGAGCAAAGTCTGAGAGGAATCCCGTGAGAGTTGCATGCCATAATGGTAGGTTCCTTTGACATAGCGTAAAATACGCTTCAAGGCTCTAAAATGATCAACAGTGGGAGCATGCATATATTGACATATAGAGTTAACACTGTACGATAAATCTGGCCGTGTAAGGGTCAAATATTGTAATGCACCAGCTAGAGAACGAAACTGTGTAGCATCTGAATAGGCAGTACCAGAATCGGTTAGATGAGATCCCACCAAAAAAGGAGTTGAGATAGGCTTGCAATCGACCATTTCTGCTCGAGTCAACAGATCAAGCGCATATTTAGCTTGGCTGAGAAAAAGACCCTTGTCATTTCTAACTACTTCAATCCCCAAAAAATAGTGTAGATCACCGAGATCCTTCATGGAAAATTCTCTGGCCAGTCGATCA